ATCCCTGAACTTATTCCCAACAAGAATCCCAAATCCTCCTGCTCTTCCATATCACTGAGCTCATTCCCAATAAGAATATGACATTTTTTCTCACTAAAATATAACACCTTAGACTTAGGCATTGAATTCAGGTTGGCATTCATTTCCTAATATTTCCTTTGCAGCTTCCTTTGGTCTTCCAAAGAATTAATTATTCCTCCTATTTCAGTATCATTCACAAATTTTGACAAATTCTAAAATCATTGATTGTTTACATTCCATCCGAGCAGCCACAGTTCACTTCACTCCATGGGAGGGGACACTGTCAAATTCTTTAATTCCATTTTAGTGGCTGCATGCAGCAACTGAAATGGACAGTATGACGTTGGAATAAAATCACGACTTTTTAAAAAAACTAGCACACTTCGCCACAATTTGCATAAATCCTATCTGCATATAATTAGCGTTTGATGTATCATTTGTATTTAAAATTATATGCTGGGTGTGGAGGAGCAATGCAGTACTGAAGAGCTGAACTTTACAGGGAGTGGAGTAAGAAGAAAAAAGATTTAGATTCACAAATGAAGCCAAGGCTGCAGAAGTCCCATTGGGACTGCAGTTTGTGTCAGTGAAACCTTTGGTCATCGTTTGCTGATAAATAGTTCATCACTGCCATCTTGAGATGCCACTACACAAGGAGTTCAGAGCAATCAACTCAGTCATCAGCAGTACCAGTCTGCCCCCTACAGCCCAACTGCTAATATTGCGAGCATTTCTCAGTGGCTGAAAGACAGTGGTTTAGGTACTATCCACACACCAAATCCTTGGTACAAAGTTGGGACGCACAGCAAGACAATCGTCTGAGACAAGGTGCCAACTTCCACAACAACCTCCTCACCCAGACAGTTAAAAATGCAGAACCTGCCAAGCGGTTGAAGTGAAATAATAAATGCATTTGAAAGGAAGCGAGACAATCGAAGGAGTTATTTATTTATTGTCAAAAAAGTCAAGAAAGATACAATGAAGAGTGTTGTGTTGCCGCACTTGATGCCATTCTGAGTTACAAAAAGAATAAAAAGGAATTACGTAAAGAGGGAGGAGGAAAGTACCACTCCAGGTCAGCACGGTGGCTCAGGGGTTAGCACTGCTGCCTCACAGCTCCAGGAACACGGATTTGAGTCCAGCCTCAGGTGACTTTCTGTGTGGAGTTTGCCCATTCTCCCCGTGTCTGCGCGGGTTTCCTCACACAGTCCAAACATGTGCAGGTTAGGTGGATTGATCATGGGAATTGCCGGCTAATAGGGGGTGGTGGTGTGGGTCTGAGTGGGATGCTCTGCGGAGAGTCAGTGTGAACTCGATAAGTCACATGGCCTGCTTCCATGTTTGTAGGGATTCTATGATTCTACCAGGGGAGGTGATGGCCTCGTGGTACTATCGCTAGATTATTACTTCAGAGACTCAGGTAATGTTCTGGGGACCTGGGTTCAAATCCTGCCATGGCAGATAGTGAAATTTGAATCCAACAAAAATCTGGAAATAAGAATCTAATGATGACCACGAAGCCATTGTCAATTGTCAGGAAAAACTCATCTGGTTCACTAATGTCCTTCAGTGAAGGAAATCTGTCATCCTTACCTGGGTCTGACCTACATGTGAGTCCAGAGCCACAGCAATGTGTTTGACTCTTAATTGTCCTCTGGGCAATCAGGGATCGGCAATAAACACTGGCCTAGTCAATGACACTGACTTCCAAATGAATGAAGAATAAAACATCAAATTGGATGAGGAGAAATAGGAGAACCTCAAGTGCAGCATCAGCAGCATGGACTTTTTGGGCTGAATGGCCTGATTCGGTGCTGCACATGCACGATGCTGTGTATTTTCTGCTAATCTGTTACCTCTCTGGAGCACCAGCTGAGCTCTGTGGGTTCTGAATCAGATGTAACATGTTTAGAAGTCCCACTCTAGAGACTTGAAAACATAATCCAGGCTGACACTACAGAGCTGTACTGAGAGAGTGCTGCACTGTCAGGGCTTCTTTCTTTCAAACAAGATGCTAAATCTCAGGCCCTTTCTACATTCTCTGGCTGATGTAAAAGGTCCATGGAACAGAAGAAGAACAAGGATGTTATCCCACGTGAACTAACCATTAGTTATCCCTCAAACAACACCACAAAAACTGACTGAGATAATTGCCCCATTGTTTTTAGTGCAGTCTTTACAATGCTAACTGACTATCCTGTTTACAGTATTGTCAGAATGGCTACACTTCAGAATGTATTTTATTGGTGGAATGCACCAAGGCGGTTGAAAGTGCTATATAAATGCAGCTTCCTTCTTTTGCTCAAGTGCACAGAATGAAGGTTCCAAACATTCTGAACCAAATGAACCATTCAAAACTGGCATGGCCGTTCAGTCTGTCTATGTTCTTTTTTGCTGGTAACAGGAAAATGGCACAAAAAACACAACCTGCAAGGACTCCACAGGAACAGACCTCCCAACACAGTAATGCCAAGATTCAGAGATAGCAAGAACTGTGGATGCTGGAGTCAGACATAACACAGAGTGGAGCTGGAGGAACACAGCAGGCCAGGCAGCACCAGAGGAGCAGGAAAGTTGACGTTTTGGGTTGGGACCCTTCTTCAGTTGCATGCCATACAAAGAGAGAAAGGAAGAAAAGTCTCATTTATATTTCACCTTTTACAACATCAAGATGATGCAAAGTGCACAAAAGCCAGTGAGAGTGTAGTCTTTGTTGTAAAGTAGGAACCTCATCAGCCAATTCAAACACAGGAAGCTCTCACAAACAGCCAATGAGCTGAGAAAACAAGGTGTAAAGCTGGATGAACGCAGCAGGCCAAGCAGCATCAGAGGAGCAGGAAAGTTGACATTTCAGATCTGGACCCTTGACAATCTGTTTCAAGCTGCTCTTTGAGGGAGAAATACAGACTAAAACCCAGGGAGGAGCGCAGTGCTCATCTTCAAATAGATCCATTGGATTTTTAGCATATGCTAAGAAGACAGACAGGAACTTGAATTAATGTCTCTTCCAAAAATTGGAACACACAACATTGCAGCACCACCTCAGCAGTGTTTTTGGAGCAGAACAAGGAATACTCTCCACTCTATGTCTAACAGGGGCATTGCTAATGAGGAGATGTTTGAGCTGAAAGACAACGACAAACATCCCGCAGCACTGATGCCCCTTAGCAAAGTATTAACACTGTATAAGAGTGTGAATGCAGAGGAGAATCATTCAGTTTGAATACAGACACAAATTAATAGCAGCCAAGACAAGCTGCCTTCATTCCTGTAGTATGTTCATTGTTGTCTTCAGACGTGCTCTATTGTACTCGAGGGGAATGTGATATGCACACCCATGTTCTGCAGTACAAACTATGATCTTGTGATGATAGCTGCATTCACTGCCCTTCACTATTTGTATAATTCATGTTCTTTTTTATTATTTTTCTCTTAAAGCATGAATTTAAATTTAAAATGAGGAGGAAGAATTCGTAATCTTGGTTGCCATGACTTCAACAATGGCTACACCAGGATGGCCCATTGAAGAAAATGCTGAGACGGGTGAATAATAGAGAACCTTGTTCTTCTCTGTACAAGAGAGGCTGCTTTTAGGAAAAAGTGATGGGTGCATCAAATGCATATCCACACCCACATACATGCACCCACACATATATGTTCACACACACACACGCATATATTCACAAGCACATACATATATTCACATTCACACACATGCACAAACGCATACATATATTCACACACATGCACATTCACACACACACAAATGCACACATATACTTACACACATATGCATTCACATACACATAAATGCACACATATATTCACACACACATACACACAATTGCACACAAATATTCACACACACATACACATTCACATACACACAAATGCACACATATAGTCACACACACATACACATTCACATACACACAAATGCACACATATATTCACACACACATACACACAAATGCAGACATATAGTCATACACACAAATGCATATATATATTCACACATACATACACACAAATGCACGCATATATTCACACACACATATACACAAATGCACACATATATTCACACGCACATACACATTCACACACACACACCACAAATTCATAAATGTTGCCAGCACCTGCAGACAGTCTTCAAGTGAAAGGCGTTATTAAAATGCACAAGGTTGCTATGGATGGCCCTCAAAATTCTGTGCCAGTGCAATAAAGCCTACTCAGAACATCAGTACCATAGACTGACACACTGACTGTCAGCTCTGCAAAGGATGGTTGTATGTAATAGTTTGATGATTTGAAAGAATTTTTTTTTTAAGTTGCAATTGTATAGTGCCTTCCACAACTCCAGGAACCCCAAAGCATTTTACAGCCAATGAGTACATGCTCAGGTCTCAGATGAGTTGCATGCAGTATACTGAAATATTCATCAATGATGAGCAGTTCCATATGTTTGTAATGAGAAATCTCACCCAATAATCCACAACATTCAGCATAGAAATAGGGAGCCTGCATTCCTATAGTGCTTTCCACAGCATCCAAAGCACATTGCAGTAAATGGATACTTTTGACACTGTGACAAGTAGGAATCACGGCAGCCACGTTGCTCATAATGAAGTGTCACAAAAATTGACAAGAAAACAGTAGTCAGAAAATCTGTTTCAGTGAAGTTGGTTGATGAATAAATATTATCCAAGAGATCCCACCTGCTCCTCATCATTTGGTAACATGGGATCCTTTAAATCCACTAGTGGGGTAAATGGAACTTGGTTGAACATTTAATCGCATCCAAGATGGCGGCAGAGAAGGACGTTTCAGCCAGAAATCGCCCATTTCTTTTTCTTCTTTTCCTCTCTTTCTTTCTCTTTTGTGTTTTTGTTTCTTCTTGGCCTCGGATTCCCAGCCTCAGTGTGACCCGGTGAGGTGGGCTCCCGGCCTGGCGTGGTGTCCTCCCTGCCTGGCTTGGTGTCCTACCGGCCTGGCATGGTGTCCTCCCGGCCTGGCGTGATGTAATCCCGGCCTGGCGTGGTAGCCTCCCGGCCTGGCGTGGTGTCCTCCCGGCCTGGCGTGGTGACCTCCCGGCCTGGCGTGGTGTAATCCTGGCCTGGCGTGGTGTCCTCCTGGCCTGGCATGGTGACCTCCCAGCCTGGCATGGTGACCTCCCAGCCTGGCGTGATGTGATCCCGGCCTGGCGTGGTGTCCTCCCGGCCTGGCGTGGTGTCCTACCAGCCTGGTGTGGTGGTCTGTCAGTGGCCTGTGACCATCTTTCGGCCCGACACAGCCTCAGAGTGGACCTCGAGCCACGAGGTGATTCCAGGGCAGTCTCCCAGCCTCGAGAGCCTCGAGGTGAAGCCCAGCGCAGTCTGTAGTCAAGGCCCAGCATGGACTAGAGGTTAGGTGTGGGCATGGACTGGGTTGGAAGAACTGTTATTCTGAACTTCTTATTTCTCTATTTTCTAATTTATTCCCATGATCTGTCATGCTGGACTTTTATTTCTTTATTTTTCTAATTTTTTTTCCTTTAAATTGGACAGAAGAACCTGTACCTAGGTACCTTGTACCTAAGATGGCGCCATAAGTGGCAACTTGTAAACTTTTCACTGTGTTGATTCGAGTACATGTGACAATAAAGCTAATTCGAATTAAATTCTAATTCGAATTCAACTTGTCAACAGTGCTTCTGACCATGCAGCACTAATTGTGAAATGCATTAAAGTGTCAACAAGGATTATGTGTTCATTTCTATACTTTGGAACCTGAAATCACAAGCTTCTAATCCAGAAACAACTGATTGCTGGATCTTCCTAGTTAGTCTATGGGGAAATCCCAGTCTTGCCTTTTCCCAGTTCAATTCCTTCAAATTTTCCTTTACTCCCAGAAAATGCCACAGTAAGACTGATGAAATTTTCTCTTCCAGTTGTCTCCAGTTGAATGTCATTTGTATGATATCTATAAGTAAGTCATAGGCATAACTGGATTCACATCTTGTAATTGTGTCCAACATTGTGAATTGTGAGCTATCTGCCTTTCCCATCGCTTCTCCCTGCACACATTACTGAACGTTTCCAACTGAGAAAATGACAGAATATGAACAAATGGAAGGAATAAGTGGGAAAGGGCAGCTGGTATATCATCTGCCCAAAAAAATCTAACATAAGGAGACAGCAAATGAAATATAACCACTTAGGCACAAAGTCCACTCCATGGATGCACCATGTGTAACTTGACCTGTGATGGACTTATCAATTTGTTTACTCTCCTGAGGGAAGGTTCTGTGAAATATTTCTTTCACTGAGCCCAATTTATCCAACCTTTAACCTCCATTATTTAAAATGAGCTGCTGGCTTTCCATCGAAACCATTAACGTGATTCCAGCATCTCGGGGTCATCGAATGTTTGACCACTGCTGTCTATACTCATCCCCATAGCCTTGAATCTTATTCCTGTCTGGATATTTATCTCACTTTTCTTGCCATAAGGAGTTAATAGGCACAATATAAGCACCTTCACTTGGAATCTAATCCAACATTTTGAAGATAAGCACATCGCATTACTTTCAATGCAGCCTTTATAAACTTGAATGCGACCAAAACTCTGCCTCCCATATCTGCCTTGTACTAAATCCCATTCACCCATAACCTCTGTGCTTTCTGATCAACATTGGCTACTGGTCTGGCAAAGACTTGATCTTAAAATTCTCAGCCTTGTTTGCAAATCTCTCTGTAGTCTCCTGCAGCTTCTAAAACGTCTGTGCTCTCCACATGCCTGCAATTCTGACCTCTTGCACGTCCTTGATTTTAATTGTCCCACAAATGATACCTGTGCCTCCAGCTGCCAAGGATTTAAGCTTTTTTAACAATAGTCTCTTCTAATTATATTCCTTCTAATTACCATTTTGTTTTTTGGTACGCCACATTTGCCATTTTCAAACAGCTTGCAAACTAAGAAACAGCCAACAGACCCAGGCTGAAAATCAGAAGGAAATGTTGTTTCTCGCAGCCATGTAAGAAGGTACATTCAGCTCACCAGCTGGCTGATTGCATCAGCTGAGAACCCTACCTTGACATTTGACATTATTTGCACCACAAGCACTTTAAAAGTAGAAGAAAGCAGATCGACCCAGCATGGCCCAATCGTCTTAACGAAAGCCTATCTACCCATCCTGCAGGCATATTCTTCAATCACTTTGCCCATCTTCCATCAATGAATAGCTGGGATAAACAGATTGTAGGTCTCTCCTGGAGCAGGCAGGAGAGTAAAGCCAAAGCTCAAGCTCAGGCCAATTACAACAGTAGTGAACAATGGAGTAGGCTTTTGAGGGGCCAAATGGCTTCTATTTCTTGTGTTCGATTACCCGATTTTCTTTTCTGCAATACATTCCAAAAAGGGTACAGTCTAAAAGACATTTGCATAAGAACACGAATAAGAAATGTTTGGAGGCGCGTCAGCCAATTGCAGGCAGGTGGAGCTAGTTTAGATTGGGATTATGGTCAGCATGGACTGGTTGGGCCGAAAGGTCCGTTTCTGTGCTGTATGACTCAATGACTAAGGATCACAACAGTTGCAGCCAGACTGTGCTGTGTAAAATTGCAGTGTACTCTTTAACAACACATCTTTCTCGCCATCTTATGCATGCAGTGCAGGATTATTGGGTTCAGAAACCGCAAGCATAGAGTCCTAATGGGATGGTCTTTTAGAGAGGCAGCTAATCAGCAGCTACCAGAGCCCCTAATATAAATGCCTGAGCACTAGCCTGGAGCATTTCACACTGCCTCTTCAAAAACACAGGCCTCAATCTTCAGAGACTAGATTGAGTGAGATTGTAGCTTTCACACACATGATAAGTACCTCATGTGGAGCAGGGCTTGGCAATCTCTTTCTTATAGCACTGACCTCGCAGCTCAGACATCATGAGTTTGAATCCCATCGAGCTCAGCAGGAGGACAGCCCAATGACCCCTCGCCCTCATATTGACGACGGTGCACACATGACTCCAATTCCAATTTTAACCTTTCGTCGCTTGGCAGGGAAGGGACAGTTAGAATGGAACAGCTCTGTTCGTCTCAATTTAATGTTGCTGGCTTTGTTCCTAAGGACCCAAAGTCTGACAAGATTGAAAGAGAATCTCGGAGAAGAAGAAGAAAATACAAGTGGGAAGTAGAAAAACGAGTAGGATGCACTGTTCTGTCATTCAAAAACAGCCCGGCTGGTCTGAGATAACATAGTGTGGAGCTGGAGGAACACAGCAGGTCAGGCAACATCAGAGGAGCAGGAAAGCTGATGTTTCGGGTCAGGGCCCTTCTTGAGACCCTTCTTTCTGAAGAAGGGTCCCGACGCGAAACGTCAGCTTTCCTGCTCCTCTGATGCTGCTTGGCCTGCTGCGTTCCTCCAGCTCCACATTACATTATCTCTGACTCCAGCATCAGCAGTTCTTACTATCTCTGGCTGGCCTGATATTGGTTTCAACTCCAGGGGGTATACGTTTAAACTGAGGAGTAAGTGGTGCAGAGGGGATATGAGAAAAAAAAAATTCACCCGGAGGGTGGCAGGTGGTGGAGATACTCTCACAATATGTAAGAAACAAACTGGATAAACATTTAAAAATGCCATGGACTATGGGCCAAGTGCAGGTAATGGGATTAGTCTAGTTTAATGTTTGTCGTTTGACATAGATATGATGGGCTGAAGGGCCTATTTCTATGCTGTATGACGCTATAACTCCATTCTCTTACGTGTTCACATGACCCTTGGCTCCCCTATTAATCAAAACACAGTCTGCTTTGGCCTCAAATATGTTCAACGTCTCATCTTCCACATTCCTCTGGGAAGAGAACTCCCAACACATTCACAACACTGGGAATTCCTCCTTATCTCCATCTTAAATGGGTGAGGTATAATTCTCAAAGTAACGTACCCAATTGTGGATTTTGCTTTGAGGAGAAACATCTCGCAATATTTAATAGAAGTGATAGAGTTCTCATCTTCAAGAGCCTTATGTCACCTCTTTTTTTTGGGATGGCCTGCCAAATCCAGAGCCAACCAAGCACTTAATGGGACAACAGTGTTTGATCCCAGGGTGGAAATCTCACCTCACACACCCATCCCAAACCCCAACCCCCACCCCGTCCTCACCCCCAACCTCTCTTGGGCAGCTCTTGGCCAATTGAAGACTGGCCAAGTCATGCTCAGCAATGCCACTTACCCACGATAACCAAAGCATACAGGCAGTGGGTGAGTGAAGCTGGCAGGGTGTGGGAGTGCGGAAGATGAGGGTGGGAGAATTTGGGTCAACAGCAGTGAGCTTCCTCTCTTGATGTTGGATTCCATGATCATGGACTGAGGGCGTTTAATGGCAGGCACCCCCGGAAGACCAGAAGCAACTCTGACAAGGTTTGCTTACTGTGGTCCATGCCAGCTGAGTCCTCCAACCATTGTTGGAATGCTGAGGGATGATATCTGTCCATAAACCCTCTTGCCTTAGCTTTAATCAGGGGAGAAGCAGGAAGCCACTGGGGGCCTCACACTCTTAAAATGCCAGGGCATAGTAGGCTATGGCCCAAGTGCTGGTAAATGGGATTGGTATTGTTGTTTGGCATAGACACGGTGGCCCTTCCCGCCTTACTAAATGCCCTCCTCACCTCAAACTTCCCAGAGCATTAAATTCTGCTCAAGCCTCAGCACCTTAGATGCTTCATTCAGAACACCTATTAGCCTTCCAAACAATGAGGAATATAAACAAAACCTCTCCTCATAAGTAAATCATTTCATTCCAGAAATCAGCTGAGTGAGCCTGTGCTGAACTGTCCCCAATTCAGGTGTTGTGATAAAACGTCACAGCGTCATCAGGCTGCCACAGGATATCTCCAACCTTACAGTTGTGGGATCCTTGCAGAACTCACTCATCCCCCCCCTTTCCCCCTCCCTCATCCCCCCCTTTTCCCCCTCACTCATCCCCCCTCTTCCCCCTCCCTCATCCCCCCCTTTTCCCCCTCACTCATCCCCCCTCACTCATTTCTCCTCTTCCCCCTCACTCATTCCACCCTCCCCCACCCCACCTACCCCCAAAACACACACACAGACACACACACCCGCACACCCACACACAGACACACGCACACACATGCACCCACAGACACAGACACACACACACACCCACACCCACAGACACAGACATCCACACCCACACCCACAGACACACACACACACACACACACCCACACAC